AGCAATACATAATAACCCTATGTGTACTAATAAAAAAACCGAAGATTAATTGACGGATAAGATCATTTCATTAGAGTATGTTTGCATTGCGAAATTCACAAGTTCGCTATTCATTTTACATATCGCGACATTTCAAATTTAATAATCAAACACCTTCATACCAATCGGAATGATCGGCTATTAACCGACAAAAAGGCCCGAGAATTTGCAATTGCCCTTTCACAAAATCTGATTTCATTCCATAAGGGGCGTCGCGCTTCGGCGCGGACGCCATTACGAATAGGTCAGAGATGATAAGCGTTCACCTAGCGATCATGATTAGATGTCCGTACATAAAACGGCACGTTTTCTTTTCATAATTGGATTGATTATTTTTAATGAGTTAACGTTGTTCATAAACAATATCGTTAAAGATAATACGATACTATGAACTTATAAATAATGTCACATATTGTATTTCAGTACTGGATTCGGACAAAAAATCAGTGAAATGATTGTTTTTGTTCAAAATATATCGAGTTTATAAGATCTCAACTGAGTTTTTTTTCTTGACTGGACTTTAAAACAATGTTGTTTTTTTAGTGATTTATGCTTCATTTGGTGTGAGTATGTGTTAAAAATCGGATCATTCGCTCACTCCGTTTTTTTCCAAAGTAATTTTTATTTATAATGAAAAATGATCCAAATTGAAAAGCGTTGCAACGCTTTTCACACAAATTGAGCTACGAGTAATACACATGTACAATTAGCAATTTATTTCCGAGTATATTTCTTAGTAATCTTTTGCATATTTTTTTTTTTAAAGAGTCTCACTTTATCTATGTAAAATCCCAATGTTGTGTTTTTATGATTTTGGACCTCATTGAAGTTTCTTTCAAACAGAGGAAGATATTAAGTGTTATACACATATAGACGGTCTCAATAAATGTGAGATGCAGACTAGCCCGGTTGAAGAGAACAAGATGTCGTTATGGGCAGAACTATATTTTCAAGGCTTCCGATGATGCCAGAAACGCTCTGAAAGAGGTTAACATTCTGACAGAAAATCCAGATCACTCTTGCGAACTTTCATACAAAATTGAGTCGTTAAACTGTCAATGATGAAAAGTTATTAATGCGATAGGTGCATCGAAATTGCTATTTTAGATATTAGCAAGAACTTACTGGACAAAATAGGATTCACTTCAATTCTCTAGTAATTGTTGAAATCGTTTAAACATGTAAATTCTTTGCGCAAGATAATTTGTGACCTATTGGTATAGTGTTTAATCCAATTCTCGGCGCAAAATGCTAACAAATGGTATAAAAATGACCAAAACAAAAACAAATAAAATGAATGTATGAAGGTCAATTGAAAATAAAATACAGATTTTGTATAAGCAAAAAAAATCACATTGATTTTTCTTGACAGCAGTTACATTGTATGGTTTTTGAGATTAGTCGCCTTATGATCTTCTCTGTGCAGTTTGGTCAAAAGTATGTTGTTGTTGTTGTTAATGGTGCATTATGCCTCAGAAATTTATATAAATAAAATACTAGAAGATAGATTTTTACCTCTTTAGAAAATGGTTACCATGAATTTTATAACATTTAAATAATGGTTTTAGAGCAAGCTACCTGAAGAAATTAGCACAAAATTTGAAATTATCTGTCATATTAAATGTAGCAAAATGTAAACAAAGTACTATTATGACTTCCATACAAACTACTTAACACTTTAACTGTCCTAATTACCAAAAAAAAAAACTTAAGAAGATAAAGAATGTTCAGGTCATTAGCCAAATTTTAATGTTTTGGAAATCACGAAAGTACACAAAAATAAAAAAGCTTCTGAGAAATAAATATTAAAAGCATTTCTGCGGCATAATGGGCCTTTAAGAAAAAAAATGGGAAAACAATGAACGTTAGACACAAACAATATCTAAAAGATGTGGGCCACTCCCTCCGTCACATTGCTATCACAAAAGCTCACCTTGGATGAGCCAAAAATGAGCTAGGGTAATCATGGATCGCTATATAATCAGTTACCATTGATTTCTGTAAGTCAAATTAACAATATTTAAACAAGACTTTGGTAACTATTTTCTTATAATCAGATCTTTTTTTATCTTGTCCTCGGCAACTACGTTGGCTTTGTTTACTAGTATTAGTTTATCCGGTTCTTGTTCCGATTATAACACATGGTCATATCTCTTGGCGGCTTTTCCTGATAATAAACCAGTGTTTACCAATGTCTCCGCAATTACTATTAATCACACAAAACAGCAGAATATTTTTTCCTTTTTTGAGTATAGCTCCTCGTCCAAAACAAATAATGATTACAATACATAAACGCAAAAATTTACAAGTACAATAATGTAGAAATAATAAAAATATAGAAGCACCCATATATCACATATATGTCACATATATATCACAATTAATTTAAAGTAAATGTCATACATGATATCTAAATCAGCGGATAGAAACAAATGACCATTAGACTCAATGAGAAAGATCAACAATTAACTGAGAAAGTACATTTTGTCTGAGGATATTGGACCAGCAATCCTTGAGTTTAACCCTTTACCTCAAATATACGCACATTCGATCCCGATTTAGGCCTCAAATAATGAAACAATGTCCTGTTTGGGCCCCAAACACATGTTTTCGTTTGAGAAATGTTTTAAGAAAAAGTGATCACTTTTTTCGGCGCCGCCCCTATCAGAAAGATACATCAGGGGGTGCCAGAGGGGGATGTGTCCCCCTCTGTTCGGAGGTTTGTATGGGGTTGCAGCCCCCCCCCCCCCCCCCCCAACGCTAAGAAGATTTTGGACCTGGCAGAGGCTAAAATTAGTAATTATTGGGCCTTTAAAAAAAGTAAGAAAGGGACACAACTACTGTTTTATCAATATATGATATTACATGATTAACTCCGCTTCACTGTTGTATGTGAATTCTTTTGGAATACAATCATATAGGATTTTGAATTCTGGATATATAGTTAAATAATATTGTATTGCTGTGATCTTATATAGGTCAGAAACTTTATGTATAAATAAAAGGACTCACTGACGATTCGCCCCAATGGCGGTGAACATTTTAAACAAAAAATGTGTTTGTTTTAAACTATGGAAGATAGTAGGTGTATTTTGTTAATAATATGGCTTATTGCTCTCCCCCCCCCCCCATGGAAGGCATTCTTACTCATCAATCCCCATCCCCGGACAAATGAAAAACCCCACTCTCTGTATGCCCCCGGCCCACGCAAAACCTATGACAGGCAATTTCCCTGAAAATTTACTTTTTGGTCAAGCAATTTATAACCGGCCCGGCCTTGTGGCAAATCAATCATCTAGTCAGGCAACAAACAAAAAAGGCCAAAGAACCCTAAGCCCCACGGGCTGGATAAAACTATTAACTGTTTTTAGATAAAACTTTTGAGGATTCTTGATTATCATTGTTTATATATTTTAGTTTGTCGGTAAGCTTGTCATGGTCAACTTTGTTGAATGCCTATGAAAAGTCCATTACAACGTCCAATGTTGCCCATTATCTAAGTAATCAAAGACTTCGTGAGGGGTGAAGTTTGAGAGGGGGATTCAGCAAGTGACTTTCGCAACAACATTTAGAACGGAAATCGATCAAATAACTCATCAGGTTTGCGACGATGTCATGCATCATTAATTTTTAATGAAAATGCAAGGAAGGGATATGGGTCTGCAATTGCTGACTTTGGTATAATCCCGCCCTAGATATGGATTATTAATGTGAAGGAGCTATCAAACTAGCATATAATGGTTCTACTCAGGCGCCCGCTTGCGTCTGAAATAATGCACGGAGAGGCACTTGACGTGTTCCTCCACCATTTAAAGTTTGAAAGTCGCCATATCACCTCTTATGTATTAGTGCTTCTGAAAACCCCAAGAAAAAATTGGGATTTAGACTTGAAAGAAGTTTGTCAATGTCATCAAATTGTTATACCGTGGATGTTTTCGGGTAGGACTGAATGTTTGCAGTTCAGTTTTATGTAAAATAGTTGTGGTCGAGAAAAAAAACAAACACACTCAACCTTTCTGTTTGGAATATTTTCTTTATCCTTTAATAATACTAAAAACTGACGGCGCAGGTGTTGTTACGGTTTTCAGATCTGCTTAACATAACTAAACAATAAGGGCATTTCCCTTGAATAAAACTATCTCCATGTGTTTTGAATTTTTCTTTGGATAACTATACCTTATAAGGAACTTTTTTTATAAGTTTGGCAAACATTTTTGTCGATAACTTATTTGTCTAAGGTAGTGACCTATGAGAGATTCTAATTATGTTGAGTATATTCAGGCGATTTATGCATGTCAGTCTGCGGATCTATGCTTAAAATGTGAACTATATTTCGGGAGATAGGTGGTTTTACTCGGGTGTCTGGTCGTGCCAATAATGAATGGAGGGACGCCTATGGTCGTCCTGCAACAGTAAAGCTTTAATGTAGGCATATGACACTCATTGTGTAACTTAAATCTCATCAAACAAACATTAAATACATGTACCAGGGAGTGAAGAAGTTTTTAATGGTTTGTATTGAAAGCGTATGTGTTGAGATTAGGAATTAGTGGTCACAAATTTTATCCAGCCACCAACTACACCCGTGTCTTTGTCCTGATTCAGGGCTAAAGTTGATGATGAAGGTGCTCTTCTCTTGACCGGTTTTGTATTACCTGTGCTTGTAGTAAGTATGTCATAATAAGGGTGTGTTTAACCACTGTGATGTCATAATGTTCTGAAATACCAAGGCCACTGCATAAATAGTTATTGGATTCTTTCAATATAAAGAAATTTTATATAATCTTTATTGAAATATTTATTTGGCTATCTTGCGGTCACGGTTATTGATCTTTATTAATAGTGACTTTGTGATTGAAGCTTGTGACAGTTGACATTTGGAAATACAAGGAGGCACATGGATCATCAGCTTCTGTGAAAGATCTATAACATTTTAAAACTAAACGATAACAAATTCATGATTAATTCAAATAAATTACTTTATTTGTTCATAAAATATAATAACAACCATGTATTTCAATTTGTGTACAGTGTCAAATAAATGGTCATTAGGGTATACATGTACACATATTTCACCACACATTTACTTAGTAAATGTATAAAAAAAAAAAACCAATCACATTCAAAACATCATATATATTATGACAAACGGACTGTTTCTTTAAAAAAAATGAAGAAAAAAAAATGAAGAGAAAATCTCTCCCTTTCATAATAAATAAACAGAAGTTAAAAAAATAATATATAATGAAACAATTTTCATTTTTTCCATATTTTACAAAAAAATAAATTTTAGCACAAAAATTATGTTTAAAATAAATAAAAATAAGAAAGAAAAAAAAGAAATAGTATAATAATGTACATTAAATATTAAATATAATTTACAATTTACTAAATTGTGTAGTTCCTAATTTTGTATTGCTGTAATATAACTTAAAATCCTGTCTATTCAAAGAGTCATTTTTATCCTGCGCTCTTTCTTTATAAGAATGGGGGAAAAAAAGAGAATATTTTTAATAGTTTTTTTATATCAAGACAGAGTTCACATTTAAACAGATGAATTAACCAGTTACAGCCCACATTCAACACTTATACAACATGTGCATCATTCAATAACAAATGATATTACATTAAACAAATACTTTGCATTGAAATCTAAACACAAAATATCATGATTTTTATTGCACACATTTATTGACAATAAATGTTTAAAACAAACAGATGAATACGCTCATCCTCCCTGGGAATCAACTCAAAATTTACGAACCCACTTATTTTCTATAAAACATCATCATCATATGCACTGACGGGAGAAAGTTTTTATTTGAAACATTAAGACATGCAGTAAATTATTTTTTAAAGTCTGTAATAAAGTTTGTTTCCAGTAATAAAACAGTTCCTTAACCATAATAGAAAATTTATCTAACCTGCCGAAAGGATATAAATAAACAACGGCCATCATTAAAAATTTGCTGACATATGACCCAGCTATTCTAAGTTTGGATAAGCTGGCATGTCTGTTCATTTGAAATCACAAAGAAAAAAAATCAAATAATACATTAAGAATCTTGTATCAAAATTACAGACTGAACTATCCTTAAGACACTAGCGTTTTCAAACCAGACTTTTACTGAGGCTGTAGCCTTTGGAATATACCATTAAAACTTTTACTTTGGTTGATTCATCCAATTGGAATTTTGTAGGATGCCATGGGAAAACAATTAGATTGTAATATAACTTCTTCAATGCCTTCACAGTGACGTTAGAAGATTTTTAACAGCTAACACTAGGCCCCTGAATTATCCATTAACATTCCATCATAAATGTGTAAAAAAAAATCCCATCATCTATACTGCACTCCACAAACATATGTAACCAGTAATACAGCAAATTCACCATCTATACTGCTCAACTTTTACAAGTAACCATTATTACTCAAAGTTTTGATCTTGGAATGATAAAAACATCAACAAAGCATTTCAATATCTTAAAATTTTTTCTTTTTATTTTCGCCCTAAAAATATTGCAATTTTACATTCTCCTTTCATAAAGATGTGTAAAAAAATTGTGTACTCAAGCTTTTATCAGTCAGATAAAAAGGGGGAGTATTCCCAAAAACTGACGTTGTTAGATCAGTGCAAAAAAATAAGGTGCAACTGTACAGTATCTAAAGATACTTGTCATGTTAAATTGTTTAAAAAACATGCATGTTACATAAATATCAATTTTAACAGTGCACTGTGCAATGGCCGAGAATTGAAGTCAATAAATACATAAAAAAATCTAAACTGCATCTCGTTGTCAATATCGCTTGTGCAAGAAAAAAATAAATTCAAAAGTACTAAACACTTCTTTAAATGCTGGTTCTGAAATAAACATTATAAAAACTGTTGCAGGCATAATTATTATTCAATATGATGAATAATTTATTCTCTAAACCTTTCAAATGATAAATGACGCTTTTATTCCCTTATCTCTCCCATTTTTTCTCTCTCACTCTCTCATTCAATGTTTTGAAAGACATGGGTGGTGAAGCATAATGATCTGATATCAAAACATCCCCCATTATGCTGCAACTGTTTTAACAATTTTATTAAATCTGTCAGTTTATCACTCTTTATCTATACTGCATTTTTGATCATAATATAGATATAAAGAGAGAAGTTGACATTTTTTATGCAATAAATTCATTAAGAGTTTACAGATATGCTTAAAGAAATCTTAAATTGTTATGTTAAGCCTGGGTGAATAAATTCATGTCTTTAATCCAGGTTTCACACAGGCTTCAAGTTCATTCTAATTTAAAGAGACAATCTAAATCAAGATCGGAAATATCAAAGAGCCTTTTCATAAACTTCAGTTTCAAAGCTTATTTCTAAAACAAGATTCAAACCATTTTTCCTAGGATTTAGAAATAGGTTAAAGTGTTGAATGTAGGAAAATCGTTCTGTATGCTATACAACATTAATACTATTTATTAACAATTGAAATTGCAGGAATAAAACATGGTTTAGATTTTGTAAGGCACTGAAAATATAGGTTCAGATCTAAAGTTCAGCTGATACATTACTATAAAACACATCTCAAATGTATGAAAGACAATTGGGTTTTATATGTACAATTTGTCAAATCAATTAAAAAAACAAATATTCAGTATCTATTATCAAACTTATTATTGCAGACTATCACTTTTGAATAGTAAAATGATAGTAAGATGTCACTAATGCCACATTTTTCCCCATATATATAAAAATATATGTACATATTAGTAACCAACATTGTTTCACATTTCATTATATACTGGCACTTTTTAATGTCCTATGGACAAGTGAATATCACAGGCTTTCTGGTAATCCTGGTTGCTTGGCAACTGCTTCTGTTGCTAGGCAAAAGTTTTCTTCTTCAGTTTTTTTTTTGTAAATCTCTCCTTTATAACTGCAAACAAGGGAGGTAATCACCATTTTGGTTAAGTTATCCAAAAGAAGGGAAGTAACTGTCACATTAATCATTCACCAAAGTTTGAACACTAGTTGCTTCCCCTCGGTCATTGTTCAGGGTAACAATTTTCCACAAAAAATTCCACAAAACACATCCGCCAAGCATTGTCCTATAAATGGATTAGGTTTCCATCCATTGAGGCTTGGTTACCAGATATTTTATCAACAAAAACATTCCGATATCGCGAAAAGTCTCTCCACCACACCCTTTGTTCCTGTTCCATGAACACAAGAATTTCTTGCTGGGCAACTTGATGCCCGGTGCGATGTCCAAACCGTTCAGACCTGCCAGATATCGGAACTCTCATCAATGTCCGAGTTACTCTTCGACTGAAATGAAAAAGTAACAATAACGTAAATATTTTGTTCCATGAATAATGAAATTGCTTATAAATTCAAGTTCACAAAATTTGTAAATAAGCAGAACAGCTGACTAGGTTAACTTGTTTCACAAGTTATGCCCGCAAATGATGGAAGACCATACTACATAGCACTTGCTTTAGCAAAATTAGACCTTAAAAATAATACATTGAGTCTTCCAATTAGAAATAGATATTAAACAGAATAAAGCAAGTCTTAGTACTAAGAATAATAAAAAGCCAAAATACATCTTTCATGCCAAAGAAATTAACACATTGCAAATTATATGCATATTTTATATATGAGGGAACTTACCGTGGTCTGAAGGCCTTGTATTTTTTCGAACAATTCGTCCTGTGTCATTTTACTGTAGGACTCAAGGGCGCTAGTGCTCCCTGTTTTTTATGTTTGACATCATACAACGCGGAAGCCTCCTGACTCTGTTGTCGACTTAATGAACCAGTCGCTACTAGAGAAGGCCGAGGAGAATGTTTTGGTGTACAGTATATTGTGTGAACACTACTACTACGAGTCATCGGTGACCGTTGGTAGACTCGCAGCATCGCCTCCTTTTCACTCAATTGTGACTGTAAGGATTTCACGCTGAAAACGACAAAAAAATAAAAAAATTTTAAATGACCATTTTAATTCACTTTGTAATGAATAACAAAGAAAGCAAACATTAAAATTTGTAATATAAAATTTTATTTTGCTTTTATTTCTAAAACAGATGGCTGCGTATCTTTTTGCAGAAAGTGTAAAATTTCATATAAAGGAAACGCCATATTAATTAGCCGGTATTTTGTGTCTGAAATTTTATGCCAGATAAACTTAAAACAAAAACAAATAGCAAAGTTATTTTGATATGTAAGAAAGTGTGTTAATTACAGAAAGTTTTAATAGGCAATAAAACACTAAATCTACACCCATTACAGATGTGTTTCTCATGATTTTCATATTAAATGATGCACCTGTAATACATCAAATTCTCTTTACAGCAAATTTATCAGTCATTACCCTAACTTAATTAATGCAGCTCTCTTTACTAAAATATTTCTGGGATTGATAAGTTATGTAGTTTTTTTACCTAGCTTCCAGCTCAGCAACTTTCACATTTGCTTGATAAATTTCCTCCATTTGTCTTAATTTATCGTTTTTGGCTTCATGGATTAGTGTTTCCGTGGTGTTCATATTTGTCGTAGTGGCTTGTTCATAAGCTGGAAGGCGAGGCAAAGTGTCGGTTTCAACTTCTTGAAGTTTTATTTTACGAATACTTTCTTCAAGCTGTTGTTCCTTCCACTGTTAACCAAAAACAAAATAACAATATTATTTGACTGTGATTATCGGAATAAAAAAATTAAAAATTCAGTCTAAAATCCTACAAGTTTGATTAACCATTTATCTTTTAAACCACTAAAAAAAAGTATAATGCTGAAAACTCTGTAATTTTAAACATGACATATCAATAGTGTGTTGTGTCACATAGTGACAGGCTTACCTGTATCAATTCTTTCTCTAGCTGTAAAATTTTTGCCTCTTTCTCGTCAAGCATTTTCTTGATATCTGCGTTAATGTCACGCTTTGGATCGGTTTTCCTGCCTTTCACACTCAGATGCCCGTGGTTTTGTCGACAGTAATCCATGTCCTTTTCTAATTTCTGACGAATACTCCTTTCGGTTAGTTCTTTCTTCTCGTACGCGGCTTTTATCGAAGAAAGTTCTTTTTGAATCTGTTCATCATATTCAGCAATGATTTGCTGTCGGTGAGTCTGAATCAGAAATAAAATTGTATAAATTAACAAGGCATCTAGATTTTTAAGCAATAATTAATAAATTTGAATGTACTTAGTCAATTTGAAATTTAGCAGAAGTAAATTATATACCTTCTAGTACATGAACCACTTACAAAAAAAAATAATTCTTAAATAAGATTGGATAATTAATATGCTTATTTGCCTGATATGTAACCATTATTTGATCAATAAATACAATATAATTATTCCAAAATGTGTTAAAAAAGTACTGAAAACACGTTAAAACAAATTTGTATCATTTTGCGACTCCTCACCTCATCGTCCATACGAGCTTGATTCGCTTGTACATTACGTAGAATTTCAATTTGCGCCCGCTGTTCCGTGATGGTTGCTCGATGAGCCTCAATCTCCATGTCTTGTCGCTCTTTTATACTCAGTAATTCTTTATCTGTAGAATTATTAAAATAAAAACATCATTTATTATAAACAAGGCCTCCTTTTATTCATTCATAAATACATTAAATTTTGTCATCTTGTCATTTACAGCAGATAAAATTGCAATTCATAAAAACCTTTCCTTTCCTAAAATTGAATAATGGATTCACCTTGCTTTGAAATTTCGAACAGTTCATTACTGATTTTAGGGATTTCAAAATGCTTCAATTGAGCAAGCAATAATAAAGCAGCCATAGGCCTTGTATTTTTCTCTGGCTTCAATCTGAATCAGGTGAACAACTTTTTTCCAAAATATTTTATAGTAAATGATCTATGAAATTGCATGTTAAATTGAAACTGAATTGCAGAATTTTTCACGAAATTAACCTTTCTATTCCAAATCTGATCCTATTATTAGGTACAAACGAATATATGTAATCTACAAGCATGCCAATAAAGAAGAAATGCTCCAAATATTCTCTGCATTTTCACATAAATTATTCATCAGCAGAAGCATAAATGTCGTGTCAGTGCTAAATATAACTTACGTTTAGCAAGTAGATGTGCCATACTACTGTCGGTCGGTTCAACCGACGCCAAAATGACATTTTCTGGAACTGAAATACCAGCGTTCTGTAACTGCTGTATTAAACCAGAGTTCATTGCCTTAACCTTTTTAAGGTCGTCTTCTAGACGTTTCTTCATTGCTAATTCTAATTGTTCGCGTTTCTTGTTGGATTTGACGAGTGCTTCGTACCCCTCATGTACTCTTTGTATCTCAAGTTCGAACTGAAATAAACAAGCCACAATGTAATGTCTAAATGTGTATAACACTTTCAAATATAAGGCTGAAATTCAATGATGTACTGAAAAGTACACCAGAAACAGTGTACTATATACGATATAATTAATAGGACTCTTAGTAAGGTCAGAATTTCATGAGTCAAAGACTCTTTTGCCAAAATGTATACTATAGTAACTATATTTCAATTTCTAGAAACAAAATAGTTGTAGTACTGCAGTAGTGTCTAATGTGAAAAAGTACAGCATCCACTGTCTATAATGTTACTATAATTATCTTTATTTCATTTTTGTACTGTACTGATTTTTACATTTTACATTTTTTTTTTTTTTGTGAGCATAAATTTCGTGACAGGAAAACATACCTTTTGCAACTTTGTGACCTTGTGATCATACATCGACAGTTTCATTCGGAGCGTTTTATTTTCCTCCGTAAGAAAATCTACCATTCGTGTAGCTTGAGCTGCTATGTGATCTATATCAGAAGAGAAGCGGGTCTGGTCGAGGCACCTGCAAGCATAAACGTGACACTCATTAGGCATATAAAAAAATTGAAATATCATATGATAATCAATCAACTTATTTCTACTTTTTATTTTCTTTCATTTTAACGCACCTAGCACCTATATGAAACTGACAGATATAACATGCAGCTTGAGGAAATCTCTCTTACCAAACTCCTTACCCCACCCTGTCAATTATCAACACATGGTTCCTCTTAGTCTTAGTGCCTTTTATTCTTAACAGCATAGCATAGCACATAGCATAGTGTCTTTTACTCTTAAACCTCACAGTCACAAAGGCAGGAAAAATGCATAACAGCATTTCTACTGGGTACATTTTAAGAATGGTCCTTTTTTGGAACACTGGTTATTATATATAGTGGGTGTTTTTTTATATAATTTCTTTATCTGCATCAGTTTAGACAAACACTGCGTCATGAAGTAGCGAAAACATAAGGAATGTTTTGGGGTTTTTTTTGCTACCGAATGCCACAGCCACAAAAAAACCAAAAAAAAAAACTTCTGAATACAGGTAAAAGCTAGCTCTCTCTCTGTCATGATTGTAGGCAGCAGACTGGGTTATAAAATCTGATTAACTACCTTGTTATTATCTCTACCCCACCTCCAATACTGGTACACAGTCTGTCAAGCACTCATTAATCATTTCACGAATCTTTGAGAGGAATGTAAACTATTTACCTATCTTTTTATAAATAGTTTACAATCAAAAGAACCTGCAGCCTTTGATGTATAGGCAGAAGGCATTTCTTTGGCTTGTGAGTCTGGCTAGTTAAAATCTTATAAATTATGCACCTTTTTTTTTTTCATTTTGTGTTTTAGCACCACTTATCACAATAGTCAATACATTATCTATAAATAGAAATAAACTTTAGACAACTACAAAGCCAGTCAGACCTTAAAAAAAAGTTAATTGAATAAAAACAATGAAGAATATATTAATTTTCTAATGTAAACTCATAAAAGTGTTGTTTTTTTAAAAAAAAAGAAGTTTTTGAAAATATTGAAATAAATTCCATTGATATATAGATAAGATCTGACCCTGGTATAAGTTTATTAAACCACCAAAACATTTGCTGCCAGAACGACTCTAACCTTAAATCATTTACGTACATAATGCTTCATTCAGGACGGTGTTTTCCCCTCGCAGGAATGTTAATTGTGCATTATTACATTATTTAAAATAAATATTCTATAATAAATTCAAACTCGTTGCCCTGTACCTGCGTAATAACCAATATATCATACCCACGACCCTTCCCCGTTATAAACCCCGCACTTCTTAACCCGGCAATTTACATTCACTTGAAAAGGTAATCAGTTGATCTACTATATTTCTGTCGACAGTTTGAACTCGGAAATATTTAAACTTGAGTGCTTTATTGAAAGTATCAAAATTTATGCTGATTTTCGCAAGGTTGACTTCTTGATTTGGTTTCAATCGTAAACAACATTGGCATATCAAAAGTATGCTAATTGGATAGTTAACGAAAATAGGTTTAATGGTCCAACACCTTCTGATCGACTAAATAGTTTTAACTTTTATGCTTTGAATAAATCATCTTTCTGAATCCATAAAAAAATTAAGTTTTTGAAATAGTTTGTGATGTTATAGTCTCAAAGACATATACAAGATTATTGTCATTAAATCAAGCACTTAGGATTTAATTCTGACAATTAACTATGAAATTTTTTCAAATTAGAATTATAATGAAAATAATTTTTATTTCTGGCCCCTTCTGGTAGTAACATTCTGTGAGTCTGTTTTTTTGTTTTTTTTTCATTTATAGGTCAAAGGTAGGCCTAATAACCCCGCTGTAAATTCCCAATTGAATCATCTTGAATATTTTCCCCATTTTCAATTGAAACTAAATTTTCATTCCGATGGTTGAGTAAAAGAATCACTGACATTAATTAAGCTTTATGTTTGTCATTGTGACAAAGAACCACATCAGGTTGATGGAAATTATTTCAAATGTACACATCAAATTCTTTAAATAATTATCTTTATGTAATTTGTCATAAATATATGCCAGTAATGAAAGTTATAAACAGCATTATATCAATAATATGCTAGATCAGTCAAGATACAAACATATCTGTCACTATATATTATAATCTACAAGTTCTTTAAGTCCTCTCCATCAATGAACTGTTTGGGGTTTTTTCTTTAATGAATGATTCATGCCTGGTTGACAAAAACTAGATAGCTGCTCACGACAGCTGTTTCAAGGGCATATTCATTTTACCAAAATGAACCAAGATCATGTCAATAACAATATATCTTATCGTTAATATAAATTAAACATGGCCAATTAAAGTTGACAACAACATTCATTATAATTGGTAATTTCAACAACTCTCGTAAAATTCAACTGCATCATTACAGTGACGGTTTTCATTTTGTATGTGATTAAGCGACACTTCGCAATTTCCACGTAATATTACTTCAGGCAAAGACCAGTCTACATGTTGGAATCACCAAAATAATGTAAAACAATACGTACCCTTCTAACGACTGTTGAGAGCCTCTGTCTGACCCTGAACCAGCTGGAGTGTGAACAATTCCCAAGTGCCTATTTGTTGTGTTAACAAAATGACTCAATTCCGGTTGTGATCTTGACCCTGGAATTTCCGGTTTTCCTATGATTTCGTATGACCTGCGAGTAGCTTCCCTAGGATCGTATGCTCCGGGATATTCTGGCGGTGGTGGTAGTGATGTTAAATATTGCGGTACCATTTGACTTGGCTGTGGCGCCATTGCAAATTGTGGTAATTGATGTAAATGAGATTGGTCTATTACACCTTGGGTAACACTGTAAGGAAAATTTGCATAAAGAGTACTGCTATTATAGGATGAAACACTAGCTGGTGATGAAAAGTTTGACATAGACTGTCTCGATGGAACATTTGGTGACATATCACAAGAATATCCGGATGTGAACGAACTATTTAAATTTGAATTATCACCAAGAGTTAATTTTGAGCTGGACGTTGATGCACTTGAAAATCCACTTTCGTTAGACATATAAAGATTGTGCTTTTGACTGCCACATGTAGACGTGGGACTAGTCGCGAAATGAGGTCCATGAACGTTTGCCGGATTTCCGGTCACGTATATTTGTGGAGTATTCACTGGTTTAACATCCATGCTTGACGTAGACATCCCGAGTCTTGCGATAATACTATATTCACTACTACCGCAGGTATCATAAGAGATACAAGTCTGTGGCAGCTGAGTTTCCTCCCCTTGTGGTTCTTGACGAATGCACGTCGGCAAATTTTCTGTGGAGGACACGGACACATCGGTACTTCCTTCACTCCCAGAGAAACTCTGATGGAGACCTGAGGAAATACAAAATACCATAATTTACAGAACAACAAATTACTTCTTCTGCATCTACTCAACACTTAAAGCAAATCAAGGTAATTAACAAATAAAAAACAAAACGCTGTTATAATTTCAATTAACCTATAGCAAAACTTATATTTATTAAATACGAGGAGTGTGAGGTATAAATGTATCATTAAACCTTAAAGTACGAAAATCCTATAAAAGGGACGTAATAATTTCTCCAATGTCAAGTGCCATGTCAACTTATACAACTTATAACTTCATAAAAATTACGTCCAGGTATTCTTGGCTGATGACTCAGTTTACGCCTATTTTTTTTTTTATTTTGCAAAAACATTTGCTGCACAGAAACTCAAACAATGTAAGTCTAAGGTCATCGCTGTTTTACAATTCCATGTCTATGCTTTTTTTGTTTCCAAATAAAAGGTGACAATACAATGGCTTAATGCTTCAGTTGTCAGTTACAATGTTGTCCTCCATTATTTTTCATAATTTACAAACTTATTACAATATAGTATAACAATTCGGCGCCTACACAAAAATGTGTTTTTATAAACAACTGCCATTGGTTAGGAGACATTTTTTTAAAGAATGTTTCGTAATGATGACCTAAGTACCTATAATTAGCCACAAGGCATTGTCAAAATTTTGGCACTAAACCTACCTTGATACTTCACGCACATAATATTATTACATCATAAAAGTAATTCATTTTTTTTTACTTCCTCTTCTTTTAACCGAATTTTAAAGATGACGACTATTTTTCAATAAAGAATGTTAAAATCATTATGTTCTTAAATACCTGCTTGTGCGTTAATTTGTTTCGGAGGTCCAGGGTAGGGGGGAGGCTCGGGAAATCCGGACATATTGTGTATTTCTTTATAGAACTCCTCTGGGCTATTCAAACTACTTGGCAGCTCTGTAAATAAACAAAATATCATAAAAATTATAATTTTATATTATTGTCCAAAAACATACAATATGTAAAAATTAATGGACATTGATTCTAGCCCATCAGTTTATAATCCATACCCGTAAAATATCACATACATTTTCAATTTATTTTTTTTTGGTTACTTTTAACATTTGGCCATCAAAATCGATTGGAAATTTTTAAGAATGTCAGTAACATATCACTGCCATGTAAATATCACAAATAAAATTTTTATTTTCTCAAAACCAAAACAAAGAAATCAGTTGGAATTAATTTTACAATATTTTACTCCTTTTTTAAAAACACTAATAATATATAATCCTGTTATTTCATTTTATATTTACACTTGTCTCCACTTAAATATTCATAATTTCAGTGTTTTTAACAACTATTTTACAAATCAAGTCTTTATACCGTTTTGACTAGAACAGCCGTAAATTCCTTCTAAATCCTCGTTCAAATTATCCAACAGCATTTTAGGTAACGTTTAACTTGATAAATCCACTAAGACCTTTTAATAACAAAATGCGTTTTAACACTTCCTAATTACACATAATTTTTATTCTGCTTATACAGTAATAATAATCCTCGTAACAATGTGAAATCCTTCCTTAACCTATGAATTGACAATGTGTAAATAATCAAAATTACAGCCAAACACTGCTTAACTACTAAGCCCCCCTGTAATATCGAAATAGCATAACAATGACTGGGTACAAATATTTTCCGTCTTTTGAACCAGTGTCAAAAATCTACTTAGGGTGACGCAAATCTCTAATCCCTGATCTGAAATCAATGAATTTCAAAGACAGTGGCGTTCCGTTCAATTCAGATGCCAAACTGTTTATGATAGTGGCAAATTTAATTGTTACGCTACAAGTGCTCTTAAAAAAGACCGCGTGTTAGATATCGTTAAGGTCTGATAACCCAGGAATTTGCTGGTTATTTGCCAACGCAGTGGGGTACAAAATAAGCGAGCGATAAACACGCAAATATTTGGGATGTTTATTGACACGTTTCAAAAGTTTTGTTATCAAACTTTTCTGTATTGATATAAATTTATTCAAATATTTGAAAAGGTGAATGCCATCGGAGTTTTACGACTGAATTTTCGTACAGAAACCGTAACTGTTCAAGTAAACAAAGGTGACTGCAAAAAAAAAAGAAATGATGAAATTTGCGACAATTTAAAATTAAATTCATATAAATTAAGTCTCAAATAAATGCTAAAAGACAGAAAAATGAATTTCATTGATAATGAAATTACTCTAACCCATTAATTAAATAAAGTGCATAACTGAAAAAAAGTCATTATGTATTCAATTAAGAAAAATAAAGTTTGCCATTAACATTAAAGAAGAAGAAAAAAACTCAAAATGTAAGGACTTCAAATCACTCTCCAAGGGCCTTTTAACTTAAACATGACAGTGTTACCTTTTCTTAAAAAATATAGGGCATTAATTATGACACAAGTGGTAAGGGTGTAACGGTTTACCGGAATACCGATATATTGCAATATGAAAAAATAAATTTCGTACCGCGGTACGATTTTTGGAAAACCGGTATTTTATAAAACTCATAATTTTCAATTAATTGCCTTCTAATTTTGTACAAATTTCACATAAAATCTTTAATTTGCGAACTTTGTTGGCGCCAACGTAAGATAAAAGTATCCGACAACTAGTACACTTAAAAGTCAATAAGCGGCCAAATAATTTACATAAGCGGCCCAGATGTGAATGGTCACAAGCGACTAGTTTTGTTAATCAAATTGTGTGACACTACTTTCTATTTATTCCTTACATTTTTATTAAGTTTCTACTAAAATATATACATAATTTACATATAACAATAATATATGAATGTTACTACATCTTAACATCAAAACATATACACGACAATACGTATTGCAATATATTGCAATACGCTTCAGCAAAATGGCAATATATTGCAATACGGTTTTTGCTGTATTGTTACACCCCTAACAAGTGGTAGCATAATCGTTTTACGGTATGTCAATAAGTCGCATTCCATGATCGACGTGCTATCAAATTACAACGAATCAAGTATACACTCGTGACAAAACAAGTGAAGTGGCCCTTGAATCGGTAAGACTAGATAAAAGAAATTCCTTACGAAACTTGTAATATCATGTGATACTGAATCTAAATCATTGCTCATTTTGTTGGCTCGTCGATTTGCGGAATCACGTGTCCACAACTTCGCGCCGAGCAAAAAACTTAAAACCTGTATGGCATGTTATCTAAATACTTTACGGTTATAAAATATGCAATCAGTATGCTATTGAAATATCTCATCGTAATAAAATATGCAATAAAGTGTAGAAATATCATAAAAGCTTTATTATAAACGCAGACAAGTCTCGAATATTTTGCTATAAAACCATTATCGTACATTTTCTACTTCAATTAAAATACCAGCTTAAAAGAGACTCTTTTTATACAATGTCTGTGGCAATTCATCAATCCATCCAACAACAACATTCATTTTACACAAAACTCTTACAATCATACATGTAAGTAAGGGTAGCTTTTTTCATCAATTTTGCTCTAAAACCAACCTTTTCCTCCAAATATATATTCCAAACATAACCACTACCACACTTCTATACACTTTCTGAGAAAATATCCAAAGATCAATTAAAAAAAAAAAGTTCAAATTTACAACAAAATCACATGTGTATAATTAAGTGCTAAACACATTATTTGTTTGACATAAAAAAAAGCAAGATTAACAACAAATTACATTTATAAATTATCCAAAAATCAGGCTGATGACTCATCCACGTAATGTTTCCTCCAGCTTTAAACTAAACCTATCTTCCAATCCGTAATGTGTGTAAATAATTTTCCCAACCGGTAATCATTGCATTCCTACCTTATGAATATAACTTGAGCATTGGCATCTTTATAATACATCTATCTCACCAAATCATTCATGTATTCACAATATTCATGTGTTTTATTTCCGAGGTATTTTTATACTTCTTTATCTCAACAGATCATCCAGAAAATAGTTATTTGTTACTGGATCTAATGACCCTAGTGGCCTAGTATTCTGTGTAACAAAGGCAGTCGGAATGTATGAAATTCTTTTCATCCGATTATTTGGTATTGTTACACCAAATTTGACACCTTGGTGCATCTATTAAAGACAAGCAGCTGTCAGGTGATTTTATTTAATGTGTGTGTGATACTTTGTGATAAAATAGTTTAAGTAAATAGTCCTTGTAGATTAATACGCCTCTGGCACTGTGACATAGGCTTTTGATGTATTTGACAGATATGATTGTAACAAAAACATGACAATGAATGCAACATGATCATATGATAATGTAATAGGGTTATACCAAATGTGGAAACAGATGCTTATCTGAGACTTGCAAATATGTTACACAATTATTACCTGTTGTTGGGATCTGAGGGCATTAAAACATTATGTACCTACTTCAAACATACATTCTTTCAACACATATTTTCACAGCTATTTAAATACCTTTGATATAAATCAAAAATGTTATCATACAAAATTATGAGAATAATTTCATACACCATGCATATCAAACCAAATTTGCACTTTTTTTTCAGATATCAATTTTTTTTCTTCTTCAGTTTTATATCCAATTTTTTTCTCTTCATTTTTATTATTTGACTTTTTTTGCATGCAACAAAATGTGTCAGTATATCCCCAAAATATTTTTTTTTCTCAAATAAAAAAGTAATATTATTCTTACCAACAAATAGTGTTGCCACCATTTTTGTATTTAAATCCAACAATTTGACACAACTGAATAGAACTTGAAATTTTACTTAAATAAAAGTATGGTATTATAAGTTCACAAATGAATTATTTTTTACAAATTCACTGCAGTTTATTCCTTTTACAAGTGAAGCCTTTTTTACACATCCATTGCATTTTATTATTTTTTAAATAATAAGTCAAAGTTTTCTGTCTAGTCCTTTTTGTCCAACTTAGGTCTTAAAACCAATCTTTAATCCAAAATATTTACTAATGGTCTTTTGTTATGAAAAATTCTTCGGAAATTAAAGCGACAAAGCAGTCTGATTTTCAATCATCCAAACTTATGTAATAACAATCAAGGAATAAGCTGAGAGTGGCGTTTCAATGACAATTATAGGTGCTTGTGTTTGTCGCAAGTATGCTAATTAGACAAAAGATATACAAATCAGACAAAAGGTATGTTAATTAAACAAAAGGTCAAGTGGGACATAGATTTTAACACATGTCTTTTATCATCAATCATAAACTATTTGAAAGTTTGTGAAATTATGTTCACAGGGAATGTTAATAGGTTTATGAGATGATTTTACACTTGGTTAGATTTTAGTAATAAGTATAATCTACAAAGGAATGCGAATAATTTATCATCTTTGTGCATTATCTAAAGACATACACACATGTCATTAGTAAGGATAATAAATTGTAATGCACTATCAATTAGATCAGATATATTACGGATAATGATAATTAAATTATTCTATCTGACAAAGAATGTTAATCAGAGATATTTACAATTAAGAAATTACACCAACTGTTAACAAACAACAAAAAAGCTTTTTCTTAAAGGCCTATAATGCCCAAAAAACAATTTCATTCTTGTTTCTCTATAAATGCTTTTGAAAAAATGTTTGGTGCATTTTCATAGTTTCCTCCAAAAAGTTACTCATTGGTCAAATACATTCTTTCTTTTACTACCTTTTGGCAATGTAAGTTCAGTTTTAAAGTAGTGTTGTAAGTATGTAAGTCAAAATACTACTTTGTTCACATTCTGTTATGTTTATATAACAAATACTTTGACATTTAGTGCTACTTTCTTCAAATGACAAACAATCAAACAATTACTCTGAAACCATTAATCAAACATTATAAAACTCATGTTAAGTAAACATTTATTTGTTTCTTCATCCATAATTAAAATATGTAAACACAAATTTAGCCAAGAC